CACACACAGGGCCCTACCAAGCTTGGCTAGTCTATCTACCCTGCTCACGAGAAGCGTGAGCGGGGTGGGGACCCCGGGTCTGTTGTTTTTTTTTGTTTATGATCCATGCGGTAACACCGCATTTCAGGCGGTCAACAAGAACTTCCAGTGGGACTGCGCCACTCATTAAACCCTAATTTTCACCATGCCAAATCCTGTAGTTGGCTGAGCGGGGGTTTACTGCAATCTATCAACGCCAGAACGCATCTCGAATGGATCAGAACTCGATTCGCCGTGCGGGGTTAGTTGGTGGAAATACAGTGAGATTTGGATTATCTAAATCAAGGGGTCGATTCAACCTTTGTATGTTGAACACGACGCCCGTCCCATGTGCGAACCGTGTGATGGCTGGAAGCGCCTCGTTGAAGGATTTGAAGATCATGTATCCGATGTGAGTGACAATGGTCGGGTGATAGCTTTATGAGTAACTACTAATCTAATTCTCCAGGTCTGTTCTCATTAGCACTATCCACACTCCTATCAGTCCACGTCAAATAGGTGAGACTACGGTCTTCAAAAACCTAGGGTGAAGCTCCTCTATCTCGCAGAATAACCTGCAGGTGGTGTTTCTCTCAAACTCCACGTCACACTGTACGGTAAAAACGACCTTAGGCACATCATCAATAGACCACCTGTCTTCCGGAGCTGGTTTACAAAGCCCCTGAAATCCTGCTTACTTGAAGAGCTGGAGAAGAGGATGCGCGGTCTATTAGGAACACTTTTGGGGGAACATTCGCGATAATCTGTACCATAAGAGGAAGTTTTACCACCCAACCTTCATAGAAGGGGAAAGAATGAAAAAAAATGCGCCTGTAGAAGCCGATGCTGCGATGGCGCCCACAGAAGTCCAGCCCTGCTGATGCTGCGACGACGCCCACAGAAGTCTGGCCCTGCTGATAAAACTCCCCAATCCCATTTGGAATCAGCGCTCTGGTGGAGAGCCAATTCTGTGACCTGCTTGATGAATCAAACAAAACGCTTGAGCCAGAGAGTGTGCTTGTTTGATTTATATTGGATCAGCCAGATGTCCCAGAGTTCTGGCAGCACTCGTTTATACGGAAAACACTCGACTTGAATTTTCGTCTCACCATCAGCGCCATGGAAGTCACCCTTTGCAATTACGGTCTCACTTGGCTTCTGAGCTGTCACATGCCCTAACAGCTCTCTTACACGAGGCAACAGCAAAATGATTCTTTGATGCTGCGTGTTCCACAGCAATCCCGTGTGCGAGTCCTGGCGTTTACCTGAATTCAGACTGATATAAAGCTCGCCTGAGCTGTATCTGAGTTACATCGTCTTTCAGCTCTAGACAATCATGTCAATATTCAACCGTCTCGGTTCCAGGCGTAGCCGCGCCAACTCAAACTCTGCGAGTACAACTTCCGATCCTGAACCACCAGTTCCCCCGATCCCCGCGCTCCCAAACGTGCATCAACCAACAGGGCCGAACGGCTCTGCTGGTCGAAACACGGTTTCGACCGGAGAGTATGCTAGAAAATGTCGTGCTCTAATGCAACTCTTGAGGGACTTGCGAAATCTCGGGTACGTGTTTTGATTCAACAGTTCCGTGTGATGTGCCTGACAGAGGGTTCTTTATTCCGTGCGCAGTGCTGATACAGTTTTCGATCTCCCCAAGATCGTCGTCATTGGGAGCCAATCTGGTAATGATCTCATATAACTGCAAATATACTCTGCATCTTAACATGACTACAGCCGGGAAAAGCTCCTTAATCGAGGCTGTGACTGGGGTGTGTCCCTCATCATGCTCTGATGGTTCGGCCCTATTGAATTTGATCTTGCCCCTAGATCAATGTTCCCCGGGATAGCGGGACTTGCACTAGGTATGCCCTTGCTAGTAAGGTCAAGTCAAATCGCCCACTTGATAATTAATAGATGCCCCATGGAGTGTACGATGTCTAGTGCCACAGAGTCATGGACTTGCACCATCTCCCTCCGTCCGGAAGGACCCATGGAATTTATTGCTGGCGCGGAACGAGTTCAACGTTTCGGACCAGTTATTACCAATAAACGAGATGTTGATATATGGCTTCGACGGGCCCAGGGCGCAATTCTCAGCACTGACCCTAACAAGTCCCGATGGGAGAAAATGTCAGCGGATGAGATCAAGAGAGCTATTCGAGACGAAGACGAAATGCGACCGTTCACTGAGGACACCATTGTCGTTGATATCCAGGATCCCGACGCCACTGACCTATCGTTTGTAGATTTGCCGGGTGCGAAGCGACTAAACCCGGTCGGGAAACATGTCTAACTTGTCTTTCCTAGGTCTAATTCAGAACTCGGATCAAAATTCCATCGACTTAATCAAGAATCTGGTCCGGAAACACGTTGCGGGACAAAACACACTGATACTTGTAACGATACCTGTGAGCGGTGCGTCCAATCCTACTCTTGCGCTCATTGTCTCTGGAGCTAATCTTGCGACCGTTTTAGATGATATCCAGAACCAAGGGGCAGTCGTTCTCGCGAAAGAGGCTGACCCTTCCGGCCGTCGTATCATTGGTTTGTGTCGGTCCAATTTTGACCCCGAGTCGCTTGTTGAATGTTCGCATTTCAGGCGTCCTCACTAAACCAGATATGTTGTTGCCTGGTGCCATCGGTGCCCATCAATTATGGAAACAAACGCTGGAGAACCAGAACACCCCAAACAACCAAAACTATCTCCAACATGGATACTACTGCGTAAGATTGCCCGACGACGCCAGTCGCCAAAAAGGCTACACCGCTCAAAATCTCCCTAACCCGGACTATTTCGATGTTACCAGACCCTGGAGCGAAGTAGAAGACAGGAGAAGATTTGGCGTCACCAACCTTGTTTCGGACGTCAGTGCATTGCTTGTGCAACTGATTGAAGCCAAGTGAGTCGTAACACGCGCTGATGTCCGCAATATTCGTTCATCTTTTTTCCATGATAGTCTTCCTATGATACGGAATGCTGTCGAGGCGGCTTTGAAAGCTTGCCTCGATCGCCTCGCCCAGCTCCCTCCGCTCACACAAGGCGGCGAGCCTTTCACCAACATAATGCTGCTTATCAATGGGTTTCTTCGCGAACTGGACGCAGCAGCCCAGGGCGATTCCCACAAGAGTTTAGCTCAGAGTTGCCGACAGCGTTACAATAGCTTACGTGATGAAATATTCGCTAGCTGCCCTCAGTTCCGACCGAAAACACAATACAAAAGGGTCCCCAGTAGCGACTATGATGATGACGATGAAGACGACGGTCAAGTCAATGTCTACGACATAGCCGCCGTCAATCGGGTTATACAAGAGTGGGTGAATATGGCGTAATTCTGTCCCAGATTTATTCATTACCCTCTTAGGTGCACTTCTTGGGAGCTCCCGGGCTGCATCCCATATGATGTGTACAAAACTCTCATTAAGCGATTCCTCCATAGCTGGAACGCGTCTCTCCAAGATTGCTTTGAAGAAATCTTTCGAATCTTTTCTGCTTTCCTCGAGGGCCTCTCTGATAACCACCTCGCCGCCTATCGCAATCTGAAGGTGTTTGTCCTGTAAGATTATCGTATATATTCTGATCTGTAGACTCACCAGATGTGGTAGGTCCCATGCTCGGACTCAACTCGAACAAGCCAAAAAAGAAACACAAGCTTCTGTAGAGAAACTCGTTAGTCTGGAGGGGCAGCCGTTCGTTACCCAGCGCAGCGATTTCGTGGCTAAACAAGAGGAGTGGATGCGAAGTTACCATAACGTGTTCTGGCCACCCCCAAAGCTGAGAAATGCAGAGGTGGCCTATACGCCATCTTGGCATTACCGAGATGAGATACATGTCATGGCAACCGTTCGTACATATTTCCAATTTGCATACGAAGTGAGTACACATTTATTTCTGATGGCCATTCTTCTTGATTGACCTTCTGAGTATAGAGGTTTGCGGACACCACGCTTCTCATGCAAGAACACGACCTTGTACAATCTCTTCGATCTAAGTTGGAGCCGACCTTGATTAGCGATCTCATGAACGTCCGAACAAGGGCGGGTGGTCTAGAGAATCTCCTATCGGAAGATCCGGACATCGAACGCGAGAGGCGAGAACAGACTAATCGGAGCGTAAGGCTGGCTGAGATAAAGAACAGGCTTGATACATTCTCGGTGATTTGATGTAGGATAAATGTTATATATGTAGAGGTCAGATGTGTTGATGTAGCTCAGCGCT